TCATATGTTAAGTATTTCTCAAGTTATCGCGCTGACAAGATTTCTATTGTTTTAGCCACTGTGAACTTGACCTTAGGCCTTTTGGCCCCAAATGCAAAAGGCTTCTTAGGATTGCCAAAAACAATCCACAAACCAAATTTGAAGTTCACATGTAAAGTATTTCTCAAGTTATCGCGCTGACAAGATTTCTATTGTTTTAGCCACTGTGAACTTGACCTTTGGCCTTTTGGCCCCAAATGCAAAAGGCTTCTTAGGATTACCAAGAACAATCCACAAACCAAATTTGAAGTTCATATGTTAATTATTTCTCAAGTTATCGCGCTGACAAGATTTCTATTGTTTTAGCCACTGTGAACCTGACCTTTGGCCTTTTGGCCCCAAATGCAAAAGGCTTCTTAGGATTACCAAGAACAATCCACAAACCAAATTTGAAGTTCATATGTTAAGTATTTCTCAAGTTATCGCGCTGACAAGATTTGTCCGGACACACACACACACCCACCCACCCACACACCCACCCACCCACCCACCCACACACCCACCCACACACCCACCCACGGAAGGACAAGGCGGAAACAGTATGCCCCTTCGGCTTCGCCGCGGGGCATAAAAACAATCATATGAGTGGGAATAGTTTTTTTTTTTTTATCAAACTTTGTCACAAGAATTTCGGATCTGAAAATGTACATCTTGTGAATGTAAAGGTTATAGATTTTATTAATCAGTCTTAATGCAATGGGTATAAATGCAATGGGTAATGCAATAAAGACGTCGTCCAACATGGGCTAGTGATCCGCATAAGTTTGTTGAGTTACAAACGCTGGATGAACGTACTCCTAGAACTATGAGGCTCCGCGTGAGCGGAGCCTCATAGATGTAGAAGCCCGCAAAATTGTCTGCAGCACAAAACACTAATAAAGTACAAAAACGTCCATCAAAATGCAGACATTTCACACAGAACCGCTGCACAGTTTGCCCCTATACTCCGTACTTTACCTCTTGACATACTCACGTATCTTGGGCACAACTAACATAGGTGGATTCTGTCGGTTTTTAGGCCAAAATGATGAAAAATATGCCCTTTCCGCACTGAGCCAACCGAACACTTGAAACGTGCACGCATATGATCGAGCGATGATTTTCGGTTCGCTCGGAGCGCGCCGCGGGGGGTACGGTACAGGCGAAATGATAGTATGTGCATGCGTACAAGTGCATGTACCGTACCCCCCCGCGGCGCGCTCCGAGTGAACCGAAAATCATCGCTCGATCATATGCATGCACGTTTCAAGTGTTCGGTTGGCTCAGTGCGGAAAGGGCATATTTTTCATCATTTTGGCCTAAAAACCGACAGAATCCACCTATGTTAGTTGTGCCCAAGATACGTGAGTATGTCAAGAGGTAAAGTACGGAGTATAGGGGCAAACTGTGCAGCGGTTCTGTGTGAAATGTCTGCATTTTGATGGACGTTTTTGTACTTTATTAGTGTTTTGTGCTGCAGACAATTTTGCGGGCTTCTACATCTATGAGGCTCCGCTGCATAGTTCTCCGCTCACGCGGAGCCTCATAGATCTAGGAGTAGGATGAACGGGCCTGAATGAGGAAATCGCCTGTAAATATTGTCAGAAAAATTACTGGGGAGCTGGGTCTAAAAAACGACGATACAGACAACAGAACGCAACACGCAAACTGCTTTGATTCACATGGCACGAACCGTAAAATGCATAAGACAATTTTCTACACCAAGAAACTGTTCAAAATGACCCAAAAAAATGATGTCATTACTCTGTTACTCATCAGAATTAAAAGAGAAGTCTGCTTGTACTTTGCCTTAGGTTGAAAAAATTGTTGACTTTAATTATGTTCTTATTCCGGTACAACTATAGAATGCAGGGCCACTTTACTCTACATCCGCGCCTCCGTACGGCTGCGTGGAGGCGTGGAACCGCAGTCGACCTACCTCCGAAAATCGATCGTGGAGTCGTGGAGCCGCAGAGAATTGCGCCCTCTATCGGTGCGCGTCTCTGCGACTCCGCGCCTCCGCCACTCCAGTGCCCCGCGTCTCCGCGATTCTGCGACTCCAAGACTCCGCGCCTCCGCCACTCCAGACAGTGCCCCGTCGCCCTCCTCCCTTCCTAATTTGCGCGCCCATTTAAAGCGATTCTGCGACTCCAAGACTCTGCGCCTCCGCTACTCCAGACAGTGCCCCGTCGCCCTCCTCCCTTCCTAATTTGCGCGCCCATTTAAATCGATTCTGCGACTCCAAGACTCCGCGCCTCCGCTACTCCAGACAGTGCCCCGTCGCCCTCCTCCCTTCCTAATTTGCGCGCCCATTTAAAGCGATTCTGCGACTCCAAGACTCTGCGCCTCCGCCACTCCAGACAGTGCCCCGTCGCCCTCCTCCCTTCCTACATGTCCTAATTTGCGCGCCCATTTAAAATGGGTATGGATGCTTCGTTCTCAAAAAATTCCGCCGAGAATTGCGCCCTCTATCGGCGCGAGTCTCTGCGACTCCGCGCCTCCGCCACTCCAGTGCCCCGCGTCTCCGCGATTCTGCGACTCCAAGACTCCGCGCCTCCGCCACTCCAGACAGTGCCCCCAACACATTTACAAGCACGCCCTCCCTTCCGATCCTTCATGAGAAGCTTAGAAGACAAGTGCAGTGCATTCCTTCGCTGTACTTAGCACTTTTTTGCAGGTTTGCATATCTATTACTCCTATTCCATCCACGCCTCCAGGCACAATAAAAAACCTTGCTTCGGCGTGGCCCTGCATTCTATAGTTGCTCCTAGTCCGAGTAACTTGGACCCAACTTATCGCCTTTTTAAAAATTTGGACATGGTCTGGCGATAGTAGGGTCCAAGCCCATTCCTTGACCTAGACAACACAGTCACTGACAGTCCCAAAAACCAACATTTTCCAACAAAAAACATCAGATTTCACCTTCAAAACGGCCTCCAAATTACTAGATATGTCACTTGAGGTACAAGTAGACATAGATGATTAAGATGGTTGTACTTAAGTTTACTTACGATCCGGAAAAAAAGTGAAATTTTCCGTTCAATTCTGGAGACCCCCTCTGCCTAGGTTGTCGTTGTTGTGCTCACGTTCAAAACTGCATGATAATGGCGTCTGATCTCGACCTCATGCAAATGTCGTGACGGTGCGCTTGCGCATAATGCACTGCATGCACGGCAGATTCCCCTGCGCCGTGCCGACGACTGTTTCCTGATGTAGAGCGCCAGCCATGCGCCTGGCTAGCCAGCACGACTCCCAGGCGTACCGCGAACTTACACAGCGCTCTACATCAGGAAACAGTCGTCGGCGCGGCGCAGGGGAATCTGCCGTGTATATGCAGTGCATTATGCGCAAGCGCGCCGCACGACATTTGCATGAGGTCGAGGTCAGACGCCATTATCATGCAGTTTTGAACGTGAGCACAACAACGACAACCTAGGCAGAGGGGGTCTCCAGAATTGAACGGAAAATTTCACTTTTTTTCCAGATCGTAAGTAAACTTAAGTACAACCATCTTAATCATCTATGTCTACTTGTACCTCAAGTGACATATCTAGTAATTTGGAGGCCGTTTTGAAGGTGAAATCTGATGTTTTTTGTTGGAAAATGTTGGTTTTTGGGACTGTCACTGTCAGTGACTGTGTTGTCTAGGTCGAGGAATGGGCTTGGACCCTACTATCGCCAGACCATGTCTAGCTGGAGTTACCCAGCCCTGAGTTTTATCATTGGGTTGTCTATTAGGGCTGGAGCGCATTTTTCTCAAAACTTGTAGTATTTGCAAACAAAAATTGGAAAATGTTCAATTTTGTCCCCGTTACACACTAATTGCAACTGCAACTCACCCCAAACTTGCCTGGAATAACCATTACACAGGTCCTTGAAGTAAAAAACGATCCACGATGAAGATTCAGCCTACAATTGCAGTGAAAACAGGAGGAATAACCGCTAACTTGACAACCTTGCTGGATTGGCCAGGACCGCTATTGGTTTGTGCACAAAAAAAATTGTGTACAATGAATGGCGGTCGATTAACAGGCACAGAGAGCGATCGCTGTCAACTACTCCTTTTGCCGGCTGCGCTGGCTGTTGGCGCATGACGTCACGCGGAAGCGTAACACCCGATGACTGTTTCATGCACTATTGGTTGCGGTTCCAGTACCAAAGCTGTGATGCGAGTGGTAAACCTTATACTAGTGCATGAAACAGTCATCGGGTGTTACGCTTCCGCGTGACGTCATGCGCCAACAGCCAGCGCAGCCGGCAAAAGGAGTAGTTGACAGCGATCGCTCTCTGTGCCTGTTAATCGACCGCCATTCATTGTACACAATTTTTTTTGTGCACAAAACCAATAGCGGTCCTGGCCAATCCAGCAAGGTTGTCAAGTTAGCGGTTATTCCTCCTGTTTTCACTGCAATTGTAGGCTGAATCTTCATCGTGGATCGTTTTTTACTTCAAGGACCTGTGTAATGGTTATTCCAGGCAAGTTTGGGGTGAGTTGCAGTTGCAATTAGTGTGTAACGGGGACAAAATTGAACATTTTCCAATTTTTGTTTGCAAATACTACAAGTTACGAGAAAAATGCGCTCCAGCCCTAATAGACAACCCAATGATAAAACTCAGGGCTGGGTAACTCCAGCTAGACCATGTCCAAATTTTTAAAAAGGCGATAAGTTGGGTCCAAGTTACTCGGACTAAGTTGCTCCCTTATTCCTCCATGATATATCAAAACTAAAGTGGGGCCCTTCACTACACGATCTCCTTTTTCGGTTCAAAACGTACACAAGGCATCCACTCTGCACAGGCTATACCTTCACTGCACACTTCCGGTGCGTGGAGTTGTTATTTACCATCGGCCATCGTTTTCGTGCCATCACATTTCAAACATTTGGAAATATCAAATACCGTTGGGTATGCATGGTAGCTTAAGCTTTCAGTGTCATGGCTCGTGCCTGATCATTCGATGATTTGACCAATACTAGACCTACCTTTTAATGCTTTCATCACCAGTTCACGGATAAAGTAATATGTAGAACCCTGAGAACTCGCAGCCACCAAACGTCGAACATTGTATGCACTGGCTAGCTAGCTAGACGTACATGTACGGTACGCGTACGTACGTTACAAGACGTTATGCACATGACGTACGTACTTGCAAAGTGAGTACTACGGACGGTGTAAATCCTACGGACCCGTACTACGTACGTACATGCATGCTGTACATGTACGTAACTCGACTCGCATATCGCAAAACTTCGCATACTACATTATCGTACGTACGCGCTGTGTGCTCCGTACCTGCACAAGTCACTTCCGTATTAACTTCTCGCGCAAACGAGAATACGACGACCACAGTAGTCTTCTTGCATAAAATTCAAGAAAATATCAAGAAAGATAAATTTCACAGCTTCCATAGAAAAAAACAGAAAGTTCATAATCCCCAAAACAAAATTATATTCACTTACCCTGCTAATATTTTTGGTCACATGAACGAGATTTGGCGAGAAAAATGCCGGTGAAATAGTTGTCAGGGCGTGCGTTCACTGGTTGGCTAGCAGTGCAATGGTAAAAAAACGCATTGAAGATTTGCAGGAAACCAGTGAAAAACCCAATTTAGGTCCGGTTTGCAACATCATGGCAGCCACCAGGAGATTAGGAAAGGTAAAGTAAAGCTCGTTTTCCTCCCTTTTGTGACAGTTTTCTTCAGAATTGAGTAAAATTTAATGCAGGAAAAAATAACTAGGTCTTCGCTGGTTGCTCTTGCTGTTTTTGACAGAAATAATTTTTCCGTTTTCAGTATTTGTTGCAGGTGTAAATTGACTGCCATGGACTGTGCTTGTAAAAAATGTAAATTTCCATGATGGACATGGCTACTGCATGTACTGGTGCAGTCAACCTCGTCCCCAGTAGTAGTACTTACTTTATTTCCAACTGCGTTTCCAATAGTCAAGATAGTAAGCCCTGGATAGGAAACTTTCTTCCTGTAGCCTATCCTGATTCGATACCGCAATTGGCTAGAAATGGATTTTTATCGTGTAGGCCTACTTACTTGGTGTAGTTATTCAAAATGTGCAGTAGGCCTACGTGTTTTCGCGATCATTCGTCCACGCCTAGGCCTAGCTAGGGCTAGGCCCTACTTGAAAATACTCAATTCCTTTCCAATTTGTTCATATTATTATTAGGCAGTGGATATTTTGCCGGAGACGGCAAACCTTCAGTAAACGTTAGTTTGCCGGATATGCACTGAACATGCGCAGTTACTGGTTTTTTGTACTGAAACATTTTCCGGTGACAAAGTTTAGTCTGGCTCCATGCCAATATTATCGTTGTATTTTTGTATTTACAAGATGGGAATCAGACCATTTTATAATTTCGGACTTTATTTCCCTTTAAAAATATCCTCCAGAGCCACAAATCTGAAAAAGAAAAAGTAATACTCTGCAATAAAATGTTTTGAGACATTTTAAAATAATAAAAGAAGAATATTCTTATTTATTTGGGGATGGGAAAAAAAACCCTTAAAATTGTGGCGGGCATCAGGATTCGAACTCGGGACATCCCACTCACTAGAGCCATTGCTTAACCACTGCACCGACTGTGCTACACAACTTTGGTGGGAATTTAATACATGTTATAATTCAGCCCTATCTTAAAGAGTACAGCGCTCTCTGTTGATAAGGATTGCCGCCGGCAAAGCTTTAGTAAACGATAGTTTGCCGGCGTTACCTCCGGCAAAATATCCACTACCTTATTATTAAATGTGATACTGCATCATTTCGATAAGATCGTAACAGTTTAATTAAATAAATCGTGTTTTTGTAATTCACGCCATGCTCGCGCTGCGACGAATTGACACTGTTTTTACCCCAGACACCGCATACAAAAAAACAAGCGCTAATAGTAATGTAACGCATATCCACGCACCAGACTGTTCCTCATTTGCATACGTGTTCACAAATCTTGCACATGCAAATGATCCAATACCAGGGTGAGAGAGCAGGTAGTGATGGGCGTGTACTGCTCGACACCCTGGGGACGAGGTTGTGGTGCAGTCGTTTTCCTAGTTTCGGATAGCAAACATCATTCAGGCTGCTTTTGGCTCAACTACTCCACAAATTCAAGTGACATTGATTAAAAAGTTTACCTTGAGTGATATGATGGAGAGAGTCCCCGAGAGACCATTCAAAATTTAAGCTCTTTTTATTTTGATTTAACGACGTCAAAGTACTGATGTCACTTTTCCTAGTTCCGGATTGGTTCAATCAGTTCCGAATCGATCAAAAATGCTTCACGCGAAAAAAAAAATCACGCGAGAAAATCATTTTTTTCAGCCAGAACCAACTGAATCAAGCATGTTTTCTGATAAAGTATTATTTCATTTACCAAAAATAGTTCATTCAAGAGAATTCCAGCAAATTTTAAAAAGAGGAAAAAACGTAAATGATTTTGAAACTTTTGTCTGCAGCGCAACGGCTGGAACTCACGCACGGACCGAAAATCTTTGACCCAGCACAGAATACGTCACACAAAATCGATTAACGCGCGTGAAGTTGGGTCGTAAGTGCACGCGCTATCTGGAACTAGGCAAAAGCATACGGTCATTCGTTGGCGAATTTTAAAAAAAATTAGAGACTTTACAACTTATTTTGATTCAACAAGCATTCGATGGCAGAGTTTATACAACTGTAGTGTATGAACAAAATATTCGAAATCACACGGTACAAGTGATATACCGAGGAGAACATTTATCGTCAATTCGCAGCTCCTGTGATTTTCCACAAATCGTCCAAACATGTCAAATTGCGAGTCGGAAATCTGGCAAAAATTCCTCGTTTAAAGATTTTATCGGAAAAATCTTGGTGTATCAAGGAGCTTACATTTTCCTTTTCAAAATGCACATCGTCAGAAATTTTTTTTATTGGTGACTAATCCAAAAGAGGTAGGTTTTTATTTGAAGGCTATCTGGAACTAGGAAAAATCCGGAACTAGGAAAACGACTGTGGCAGCGCCCCCACAATTCCTGACTTAGGCCATATGACATTAAGTAGACTGTACCGTTTCCATTTCAGGAAAACATATTTGACGAGTAAGGTTACAAATAAAATAAAATAGGCCTATACCATGAATGTGGCGATCGTGTAGTTACGCCTACGGGCCCCTCTTTCAATTTTATGTCTAATAGTTTCGTCACTTTCGACCAAATTAGAGTCGGTCAGCAAGGGTGGGAACTTTTTTATCATTACTAAAATGACCATTTTAAGTTTAACCTAACGTTACATCAGACCATCAGACTTCTCTCAATTCTAAATGACCCCTTTTTTGTGATTTTGAACAGTCTTTTGTGGTAGAAATTACGATTTTATTTAGCGGTTGGTGTCATGCGATTCAGCGCGCTTGGCGCGTTCAGGGTACATTGTACATCGCGGTGATGCCCATCTTTATTTTCATGCTGTGTTTTGTCGTTGTCACCATCATTTTACCCTTAAATTTCCCTCCAAAATTCAATATCCTGCCCTCTCTATCTGTGACATACATGTATCTGCATATTAATCCTCCAACTGCCTCCATGCAAAAATTGTATACAGCCTCAATCCTGCAAATTCCTCCATTGTTGCTTGAATGTGGTCCTTGGGGGGGGGGGGGGGGTGACCACTGCCTCAATCCTGCAAACTCCTCCAGCAATCACTGTCAATACATGTATATTGAGGCAGAGCCAGTGACATCCGGGAGCAGTGCGGAGGATTTCAAGCATAATCTGGGCCTAATTCATGCACGGCTGAGCATAAACACAAGGTCCAGCCTACGACCTTGGCACAGTGCATCCTCCAAAATCTACCACACATTTTTGCCATATAGCCTCAATCCTGCAAAATCCTTCATTTTGCAAAGAGGATTTTGAAGGATTTGGGAAGGTTGGGGTTGATACTAAATGCCGTGTCTAACAGTAATATGTGCTTGTTCTTATTTTGCCTTTCATTCTGCAGGAATTAAATGACATTAGAGCTTCAAATCTAAAGATTTTCCGAGAGATACAAGTAGATGAAACAAACATCTTAAACTGGCAGGGCCTCATAGTTCCCGTAAGTATCTACATAACTTCTCTTTTTAACTTTTCCTCAGTTAGAAGCAGAATATATAATGAATTCCTTGGTTTAACCCTGACTGCTTCAAATCGACCAAAAAGGCAGTGCCAAATGATGTACGTGAATTGTTGGACACCAGAATGTCATTATTCTCACCAAAAACAAACTTTCACGGCACTGATATGGATACACCCGAAGTGTCAAGACAACTTCTCATCAGTGATCATCACTGTCGCCATGATTCAGCTGAGAGCGTTGACATGTCTGTCCCTCTGGCAACGCAGATCTCTCGTTCTGTGCGACAGTGCGAGCAGCAGTGTCACACCACGAAGCCGCCGTCTCGGGGAAACAGGGGGAGTCTTCTGGTTCTGTTTCCTCGACATCCGCGGCTGCTGCTGCTGCTGCTGTCTCATCATCAGGCTCGATAATAGTAATGTGTATTTATAAAGCGCACATACAATGTAGCCACCACTATTGGCGCTCAAGGCGCTACATCATTATGGTCCTGCTCATTGGCCAATGAAACATTCCAAAGACAATCTCAGCTCCCTGGGGAGTAAACAGCAAAAATCAACCACAATAACCATCTCTGTCTTCAGATGTACCCATTTACTCCTGGGTGGGGAGAAGCAATGAGTGTTACAAAGTGCCTTGCCCAAGGGCACACACACCTCAACCTTAAGGCTGGCCTCGAACCCACAACCTGCAGTATTGCCAAGAATTCATTGCGCCAGACCGAGAGGCCACAGCACTTGATGCTGCTGACACTCGATGCTGCTGGCGCTCTCCTCGGCAGATGCATTGCCCGCCCCATCCCCCTCCTGTTCCAAGGCAGCGGCCTGCCAGAAGATGTGCTCCACATAAGTCACTGGGGACAAATCAGTACCCAAAGAATGAGTAGACATGGTGATCTGGCTGACGATCCCCCAGCAAACTCTCGGTCAGAACCATGTATAGGTCAAGCACGTTCGGCCCAAGTTTCCTTTTTCAAACTCATGCAAGTCCATACCACGGAGGCGGTGGCTGCGTTCCTTAACGGCAGCCAGACCTGCCTGCTCAAGAGTTACACATAGATGCTAGGTGGGCTTCTGCATTTTACTAATGGAAAATTGTTTGCACGTTACAATGTGCAGTAGTACTGTTGTAGCGACGCATTTTGTCTTTCATTTTGTCTTTCATTTTGCAAGCAGTTACCAAACTGCCTCAGAGTCTGTGCACGGATCCTACACATAAGGATTAACGACTCGCCCAACTCCTGGTTAGACGCGTGATAACGACCCGTACTGGTGGCAAATACCATGAATACTTGTCAACAAAGACCACTGCACGCGTTGGCTTTCAGATTTGCAAGGCTCTGCGCCCGATCTGGCATCTAAGTCTGTCAGGCCAGGGAATTATATTTTTGAATATTGATGAGTCTACGTTTTGGGTCTTTATTATTTAATTCTGATAAGTGATAACCATTGTAATGCCGAGCACAATATCTTTAGCTATAAGATGAACAATGAAATGTCGCTTTTGTTTCATCGGTTTCGGCATCACATCTCTCTAAAACTCAGAACAGTCGTTTACATGTATCCTGGTGTCTAGGATCCGTGGTCTGTCGTTGCCTACTGCAACAGGATACAGTAGTGGCATTGTTTAATGGGACTACCTCTCATTGTCTCAGAATTGGCGCTGTATGCACTGGTGTTGATGGTTTAATGCAGAAAAATTCCACAGACTTTCACACCTGTTGTACAGTGTTGCATTCGGGAGGTTTAGGGTCAGTGTTTCTCACCTTGTGTTTCTTTATCCTTGTTTCCGCTCACCAGGAAAACCCACCTTACAACAGGGGGGCCTTCAAGATTGAAATCAACTTTCCGGCAGAGTATCCCTTCAAGCCACCAAAAATCACATTTAAGACCAAAATCTATCATCCGAACATCGACGAGAAGGGTCAGATCTGCCTACCCATCATCAGCCCGGAGAATTGGAAGCCTGCTACCAAGACAGATCAAGGTTAGTGTCGGCTCGTCCTAGCTTCAATACCATTTCAAGATTTTGAAATTACTGATTTTACATTAACCCTAACTCCCTAGCGTCTTTTACTAGGAACTGGACCAAGTCCATCAAAATCGATCAATCACTGTGCGTCCAATACAAAACTGTAAATGACATAATGGAATCCACCACTGACGCACTGGTTGACATTCATGGACTTGCTACACATGGCTGTTATCACAATAGCAGTACAGGAAGCTAGGCAAAATCAATCGGATACCCCTAGCACTGTTTCAGGCCATTAGGCACAAGTCCATCATACTCCATCAATATTTAGTCACGCCAGGCGTTCTGGACCAAGTCCCCCAAAATCCACCAAAATGGGGGGATGGATTTTGATGGAGTTGGGGTGGTTAGGGTTAAACTTTTTCTGACCATGAACCATATTTGTCTGAACTCCAAAAATTGTGTGCTCAGTCTATTTATGTGTAAGCTCATTCCAAGTTAGTGTGGGAATATAACCGTCTTCATTGGACCGTGGAAAATTGATTATGTTAGGTTGTCTGAGCAGTTTTTGTTTAATTTCACCTTCTGCCGGGTTGAGCCACAGATTTAATCATTGATCTAATGCTTTCAGTGACGAAAACTACAATGGTGGTCTAGTGGGTTTAGCCCTTCACCTTTGTAATTTTTATTAAGCGCTGTAGAAACAGTACTATCTGAGAGCTTGTAGGTGAAAAAAAATATCATAACCTTAACACTCGGGTGGGAATCGAACCAACGACTTCCCGCTTTTTAGTGCAGATGTTTTACCACTTGAACACAGAGCCTGCAGGGCTTGGTTCAACTGGCTGATCAGTTTTTATCTGAGGGCACCACTTGTTAATCTAGTGGAGATCAGTTGTTGTGGCATCTGTCTTGAAAGACAATGGTAGCCCTTAGCAGTCAATCCTGTTGTAAGCAACTCCGTTAGTGGCTCTGCAGATCTACTCTGGCGTGTCATTCTCTTCCACACCAACTGCATGTGAAGTCTGAAGAGGGTGGTGGGTTCTACTGTTGACTTTGCTTAGGCTTCTCTTTTCTGCCAGTTGGGTGTTTCTTCTCGCCTCTCCCTTTCTGACTGTTCTGCGCCAGGTGTCGCGGTCATCTGAGATTGTCTCCCAGTTGTCTGTGTCAATTTCAGTCAGCTTTAGGTCTTTCCTGCACACATCCTTGAAGTGAAGCAGTGGGCGACCAGCTGGGCGGATTTGGAGATCAGTAAGATTAAGAATAAGAAAGACTAATATGGGCATGTGATCTCTGTGCCCGTGCCCTTGATTTTGTGTCCTGATGGGTTCACACAGTTAGCAGTAGAAGACTTTTTGTTGATGTTTCTATAATCTTGTGGTTTTTTTGTACTTTTTGTTTTCTTCCTCTTCACAGTAATTCAGGCACTAGTGGCCCTCGTCCACGACCCCGAGCCGGAACACCCGCTGCGTGGCGACCTAGCAGAAGAGTACACAAAAGACAAGAAGAAGTTTCTCAAAAATGCGGAAGATCACACGAAGAAATACTCGGAGAAACGTCCGGCGTCGTAGATGATGGTTTGACAAAATGGCTGTCGGGGAACGTTTCGCTTCGGTGCAAAACGGGGCGGGGGAAATACATTGTGTATAAAAAAAAAGTAGACACAGATACGATGAAAAATTACTCTGGTGTGAGCGCATTCCTTGTGTTCTTTTTTTAATGGCAAGGAATGGCTCATGCTCTCTGTCATACAGAGTTAAAGTAAAACATTTTGTTGTGTAATTTTTTTTTTAATTGTCATGATTGAGCACACTAAATTTTCACGTGAATTTATGTTTCATTGTTCCCGTTTTGGGACTAGAGTAGTGCAGATTTCAGATCATGTGGTGGCAGGTTTTTGACAATAGGAAAGAAAACTGTGTAATAATACCCTAAATAAGGTTCTTCTTTTGTGATCTGTTGAGGGATGCTTAGCTACAGAAATTGTATCCAGTTGAAAAGACATGCTGTGTTATATTGACCCACGACCTTTGCCACAGTACATTGGAAAGGTCAGAGAAGGTCAAAGAGTAGAAGTCAACTCCCATATAAAGCCAAGAGTAACACCTAAAGTTACTAAAAAAAAAATAAGTCCTGTCATTTTTAAAGTCATTTGTAGCTTTGTCACAAGCATTTGCAATGCCCATTGTTCTTTCTACTTGTGAATTGTCCACTATACTCAGTGCACTTACATTTTTTTTCAAGTACTTGTAACAATTTTTTTACCTCTAAATATAAATTGAAGTAAAGACGTATGAAACTGCAAGTCCAATAGGCATGTTTGCAAAAAAAACCATAAAGGAGCAGGATATCCGTGATGACCCACAACATTGTTTCAGTCTGTCTATGGAAACACTTTTAGGTTTAATAAAAAGAAAAAGTAGACATCCAAAAAATTTTTTCTGGAGCATTTGTGAGTGATTAAGTTGGCCACTGACACTCATTTTTAAGAATCAGAGTCCCTCAAAACAGCATTGATTTTTTTTTTTTTTTCTGTTTGGAGAAGCAATGCAGTTGCTTGTGTCATGGTCGCAGAGGGAAGTATGTAGGTAGCCTAATGGACCTAATTTCTTAAAAAGTGTCACATGTATTAGTGGCTTAGTCCTAATAATGTTGGACATGGGGGGTAAAATTTGGGGTCCACTTCTTTCCTTACATGTACGACTTCGTAATAAGCCTTTTGCGAATAACCTATACCCTTTGAGAGTTAACTTTAAATAATATCTGGTACACTGAATTGCTCATAATGCTTGGCACGTTTTAACTTTGAATTCCCCAGATTAAAGGCACTGTTGCTATACATCACATGATTCGGGGCAAGCTTTTGCATAGTTACGTAAGAGACGCTCGGCATCAATACATTGTTCACAATGGGTGAGAATGGCGCACAGACACCAGACCATGCCAGAGCTGGGGGTTACTAGCGTAAGGCTTGCCCCGAATCATGTGATATAGCAACAGTCACTTTGGTCTGGAGAATTCAAAGTTAAAATGTGCAAGTCAGGGGCACCAGATATTACTGGCTTATTTGACTGCACTCTTTTATGTCTTCTTTTCCAAGAGTAATTGTGTCAAGCAGACTAGCTATCCAACAAGTAAAAAGGAGATTGAAGTCATTTTGAATGATACTTGAATGGCATATATCATCACGTTAGTGCAACAAGGTCGTATCTCCTAAAATGGCATAAATGCGAAACGCAAGTTTCAGAATGTCAAAAGGTCGTATGTGGCTGAAAATAACCCGGATGTACACGCAAAGTCAATGGACGTTGAGATACGACGTTGTTGCACGGAGCATATACACGCGAGATACGACTTTGTTGCAGAATGGACATACCACCTTGTTGCACTGACACGACGATATCACAAAGATCGGAGCTATCAGGAAGCATATAATGACCCATATATACTACATTGCAGTCAACAAACTGATGTGCTTAACTGATGTGCTTAACTCTGTTAACTCTGCTTAACGCTGTTAAGGCTGAAGGACAGTATTAATTAACCGCTTTCTTGTTCACTTGATATAACACACTCTTTTGAGAGAATAGACTTGTAACAATATTCTCTATAATACTGCACCAGGACAACTTTAAAGCAGTCTTTTCATTCTGTTGTCATGACCAGTTTAAAATTGTCTCGTAATTTTGCACTGCATAATTTGTATTCGTTTGATAAATGTTTCGTCCCCCCCCCCCTCCCCCTCTTTCAGATCTGTTTCTAAAACACGATATGTACACAAGCAGCTGGATCATGTAAAGTAAGTTTCGGGCAATGACATAAAAACGCAACCTCACAAACATAATTCGCAGAAGTGATAGGTACCAAGTCACTTTCTGACCTCTAGTCTCATGCAAAATCCTTTCTCTGTTTTGTACAATTTTGGAAAGTGATTCTTTTAGATGTTAAAAGTTATGTCAGTTTAATAAACGCAATGAAAGTGTGACACTGCAATTAGTAATGTGTTCTTTTTGATCACCAGGTTTTGTTTTCCACTCCAAATGTAATGTGTTAGAACACAAGCACTCAAGATTTAAAAAAGAGACTCCAAAAATAATCCCAGCAAAATTTGGTCGGATAGAAACTCTGCAGTGAAATTTCAACGGCCACTGTTCGACTGAGTCGAACTGTTTATGTAACAAAGCGCCCCGATATCTCTAAGATGCAGTTGACCAGAGTTAACTTCATTTTGGGGGGAATTTTTATTGAGTTGGCTAAGGGATTTTTGTATTATTTATGATTGTCTTGATTATTTCGTTTTGTAATTAAAGCCTTGCCTGTGTGAAAAAAAAAAAATAACCCACAAATCTTGTTTCAATGTTTCAATTTTCAATCAATCGTGAAATGTTATGAGATTTCATTGATAACCAGCATTTGTTATCCTGTATCAAATCGTACTTTTTACTAGGGAACCATGGAAAAAAATATCACAACTTAAACTTAACCAGTAGTTAAATTTCTACTTAGGCAGAGCTTTGAAATTTAAACCAAAAATAAAACAAAAATGATAATCCACAAAATGATCATGGATCTCGTGTGTGACCTGTACGCATTCTGAAGTCCAGTCTACGAAAATTAGAAAGGTTAACCATTTTGAGTTTTCATTGTTCAATGTTACACCTTTTTATGCTTAACCTTTTATGTATACAGTGTAATACTACTAATAGCCTGTGCATATGGAATATCACATGTATGCACAATCGAGATGGGATTGCCAATAAAACTGTATGTAATCCATAGACATTTATTTAACTTTTATGTTTCAACACTTTTGTTCGTGAGCACATCATCGTGACTGTTCATCAATGATAGATTTTGAAATGTTGGTGTTCCTATTTTGAGACATCCATTCATGGGCGTCGCGGGGGGAGGGGCGTCCCCCCGAAAAGTCATAATTATTGTTGTTAATTAATGGGATGGGTAGGGGCAAATGTCCCTGCCCACCCTCGAAAAAATGATAAATCGGGAAATTGCTGGAAATTATAGGGATTTGGAGGGGGGGGGTGTGATTTGCCCGCCTCTAGAAAAAAAACCTGGCGACGCCCATGCATCCATTCCAAAGATGATGTCCGATCAGAGAAAAAAATAGTGTTCTGTAAAATATGATTTTTTGATCCTTCCTTCGCCTAAAAGTGTCTGGGGAAAATAACAAAAATGCTGGTATTTAAAGGTTGCAGGCCAAACATAGGCCCCAAATTGCCTACGCCGGCCAAATCGTGGTTTGCATGCCATCAAATTCTATGGTTTTTTAAAGTATTTTGAGTGCCATAAACTTGAGGGCTTGTCAAAAGGAAGGGTGGAAACCGTGCAGAGGACTGCGAGCTCGTATGAGTGTGGAATTTGGATGAAATGACACTATTTTGCAATGGAGCGCAGGCGTCTGTTTTCAAAATGGCGATGGGCTTCAGGACTACTATTACAGGTGATCATCTTTTGATATAAATTTCTCCCCAAAGTCACCGGTTTACCTCCTCTAAAAAATTGAGCAACAATCGGATATGAACATCTCATCCCCCCCCCCCTGCCAAAATCCCAGCATCCACCCCTGAACGCACCTGGTGCCTTTTTCAAAAAAGCCTACAGAATAATAGTTTTTATTGTTCGTATTGATAAGTCAGGCATGCAACTTTTCCTCGGATCAGCTGATTTCCTCTTTTTTTACTTCCCATGTGTGCCATTAAATATAGAAAAACACTGTACAAAGTCTGGGAAAAATTTGCATTTCCTCTTTTTTTTGGTGATTTCCCAGTTGCATGCCTGCTGTTATACAAACGAAGCTACCGTATACAATTTTGCAAACAAATGAAAACAGTTGGCATTATTGCCCAAAACATATGTAGTCATGTACACAGCAATGTTCCATGTTTGTCCGACTATTTAAGACAAATACTTTTGAGAAGAACTCTAAGGAGGTCGAATGGCCTAGTGGTACAATTCGTCGACCACGAATCGCGGAGCCCGGGTTCGAATCCCGTCGGTGTCTTTTTTGCTGTTCAACGCGCGCATTCAGTCATTATAAGATGTTTAATTTCCCGTCGTAAATCACCAACTGTACCTTAGCTTAATCGGTAAGCACTGCGGCTGGTACTGTCCGCGAGTTCCAGGTTGGCGCCTTCGTACAGGTTCAGGGCATGTGGTCCACTCGGGGGATCAGGGCTTAGGGGCCGCCCTGTTCCTCCCTTAGCTCTTTGCTTTTACATGGTGCCTGGCCCTCCGGGGTTACATGGATGGACAGGGAAGGAAGTGTGTATTGGTCGGGGACGCCGAGACCCCGGAAGAGAACTAAGGGATTGGCTGGGGCATTGTTATGGCTCAGACCGATCCCCGAAAGCTTGGCCAGCACATAACTTTTTGATTTTTTTTTAATCCTCTTTTTTTTAAATGTAATTTGGTTAAGTTTTAAAATTGACATCTGCTCGGCAGGTCTACGGTAGTATTAAAAGCGAAACAAAGGTCTCTGTCATCAATCAATGAATATTTAATATTATTGAGAAATAGAATCATATTATTGACTGAAATTTACCAAAGTTTTCAGCGTATGGTTTCTTTTCTTTGACACATCTGTCTAAAAATAAATTGGAAATGTTTAGGGCCCTGTAGGCATCTTCCTTGCAACCTTCATACAATTTGATTTTTTGGGCCAAAAATTGAAATAATTGCAAGATTAGCCTTGAATTTTGCTCAAATTCGGCAAAAAAATTTACATGTCTCCAAAAAAGCGCACTAATTTGCATCTTTCCTGCAACTTTCA